GCATATGTGGGAGTATTTCTGTAGAATAAACCCCTAGAAGTGAAATTACAGGGTCGAAGAACAAGTCACTTAAAACTGTGTTAGATATTGCTAAATGGGCTACTCTACTTTCAAAACAAGAAGATAAATGATCTGGTTTGTGACCACCTATAATTTCTCCATGAGTCTGATATGATAAGAACATACGCTTCATATCAAGGATTTTTTAGTGAAAAATAAAAAAGAGAATTCTAACCTATGCCCTGAAGTCAGCCTAGTCTTAGCTAATTGATGACTGTGGTGGGCACCCTCAAGGTGATTGCCCTGATAACGATTCCCTTTTCCCTGGAAATGCTGCTTCCCTAACCCCACTGAGATCGTAAGATGGGTGGCAGCTGCTATATCTGTTCTACGTGGCCCTTGACATCCCCTACGCTGGCTGAGTGACTCAGAGCTGAGCACCTGGCCTAATCTAGGGTGCTCAGACTCCTTTTCCAGGGAATCAGAAACTCAGGGTAATCTGGGAGTTACTAAAGGCAATGCTTCAAAGCAGCATTTATGAACTTCAGTTATTCACTTAGTACGTTGGTCATTCCTGCACATACCATATGTACTCTTATGTAGTTAAGGTTTTTCTTTAGATATTATCTTTAAATCCTCTTTTTGGATTTTTTTCTAGAGACACTATATAGCAAAGAGTTAAGAGTAAGGATTCTGGAGCCAGATTGCCTAGATTCACATTCCAGCTCTGCCATTTATTAGCTGTGTGGTCTTGAACAATTTACTCAACCACTGTCAGTGCCCAGTGTTTTCATCTGTGAAATGGAGATAAACAGCACATACATCATTGTTGTGGGGGTTAAATGACTTTATATACAGTTCATAAAATATATAGCTCATGGGGTATATATAACTCCACACAGTAAGTGCTCAATAAATGTTAACTATTACTGCTTTTAAATCAATTCACCTTTCTATTTAAATAAAACTTTACATCCCAACTATCTGGTTAGGACAGGTCAGAAGTGAGTCACCCACAGAGCAGCAAGACCTGAACCTGTGGAAACGGAGTTACCCATTACACAGGCATTCTTCAGGGGGCTGCCTGGTCTTGGTGTAGAGCAGAGTCCTGTGGGCTTCCAGATACCTCCCTTGGTGATGGGCAATCCTTTTCTGCCCCTCTAGTCCCATCCTTACCCCCTATCCCTGACCAGCCCTTGAAGTTCTTGTATGAATCTGTGAAAAATCAACTGATCTAGACAAATACATTCATGGTACAGATGAGGAACCAGCAGAACCAAAATGTCTACTGAATTACTTAAGAGCCCGTGGGTTGTAGATATTAGAACTGAAATCCAGGTGCCCTAACTCCCATCCAGTGCTTTTTCTTCTATAGGCAGTAAATGTGTTATAGGAGCTAAGAACAACAATGTTTTTCATATTGATACCTTAACTTATTGAAAAGAAAACTGCTAAACGTTTCAAGTAATCTCAGTGGTTCAACCAGGTGTAATTCTAGAAAGGCGGTAAGTTTAATTTCTGACTCCCTATCTCCTTACAGCACTTGATCATCCACCTCAGGTATCTTGCTTCCCCACATCAGAATCTTTGGGGATAATCATGAGTCACTTATGCTTTAGGGGACGTTCAGTTTATCTAAACAGGGAGTTTTGTTATGAGAAAGCTCTGGTTTTAATTCCTGCTTCATTTCCTAAGATCTGTAGAAACTTAAAAGCTACCCCCACCCCCGAATTGTTTTGGTTTCCTCTCTACTGAAAATGGGGTAATTAACAGGTATTTCACAGAATGTTTGTAAGGAGGAAATAAATTTTATTGAGCAAGCAATAAAGATTTATGGAATACCAACTATTTGCTAGGGAGCAGACAGGCCTTTCCCCAATTACACTAATTGCTTAGAGGGGCAGATAGATAGCAAATGTCTTCTTTTGTTTCTTTTTTACCAAACAGATCTAGCTTTGTTTATTCATTCAAGAATTCTCTATTAAGTACCTGTTACATGGCAGGTACTACTCAGGGCACTGGGAATGCAGAGTAGACGAAAACATGGTCCCAGCAACTTGTAGTGGGGAAGAGGTTTGACATTATTCTTAGACCTTCCTAAGCTAGACACCAAATTTAGGACTCTTCTTTCAGAGCAGAAAAATAACGAGGACCTTGGATGCCCATCATGCAATTCTGCTCTCCCAGTTACAGATGTAGAAATCAAAGTTCAGACATTCTAAGTACTTTATTCAAGGCCATACAGGTAGTTATCTATATAGATAGCTAGAAGTATAATTGTAACTGGACAATCAATGGGTCTGTGCTGCCAGTCACTACTTGAGTCAATTCAGCAGAGACAGGGTTGAATTATATATGAGTGTTTATTCCAATAGTTTGGCAGTACAGGAGAGCAGCAAGTCATCCACAATAATTTGCTCTACACCCTACCATAAGCCAGCTGCTTATATTGGGTAGAAGGACAAAGATGACATGGGAAGTAGGCAAAAGGGTATGCCAACAGACAGTTTACAGGAAATGCAGGCTGGAGATATGCAAAGGCCTGTGGGTATGCAAAGGCTGGGGGTCTTCGAAGGGCTGGCAATATGCAAAGGGCTAGTGGCTATGGTTTCTGCAACAAGGTTGTTCATCTTTCCATAATAGGTGGCTCCCAGATGGGGAGGACGGGTCATATTTCCAGGTGAGCTCTCAGGTCCTCTGCGTAACTCCCAGCCAGGTTAGATTGTGCCTTCTTTAATCATGGCTAACAGAGCATGATTAATATTTCTTACAATTATAGTTGGTCCCCAATATTCTATTTCTGCCCCATCATAATCTTCATCTCCTAATCTTTTCTACGTATTATGCTGCCCAAGAAGCAGACAAAACAGTTTAGTGTAAATTTTCTAAATGGAAGCTTTTCAAAAAATGACAAAATAAAACCAGGGACTTGTATGCATGCATATAAGCATAACCAATGGACACACACAGTAGGGGGGTAAGGGCATGTGCTGGCGGGTGGAAGTGGCCTGGGAGAGGTCAATGGGGGACAAAGGAGACATATGTAATACTTTAAACAATGAAGAATTAAAACACACACACACACACACACACACACACACACACACACACACACACACAAACCAGGGAGAGAATAGTCATTCTTTTTTTTAATGCTGGAATGCGTATCTTTCAGAAATTATAATTTACTAGAGGTCCTTGAGATAAGCATATAACATGCAGATATTTTATTATACAGAACTTTTTAAAAAAGGTTATCTTTGTTATTGAAAGTATTACAGATATCCTTATTTTTCTCCCCATTGACCTCCATCCCACTCCTGCCTCCTCTCCCCAGGCCTTCACTGCACTATTGTCTGTGTCCATGGGTTATGCATATATACATATAAATTCTTTGGTTAATCTCTTCCTACCCCCTTCCCTTCTTGAGATTTGTCAGTCTCATTATACAGAACTTTTAAAAAAATTGAATTAGTATTTGACAAGCAATCTTACAAATCAATTCACATTGATTACAAGGTACTAAAATAATCAAAGATAATCATAGAGATGAATTTTGTAATTCAATTTGTGAAATCTGTCTCTTTCTTCATAACAAATATAGAGATATCTGAAAATGGCCTCTGTTCACCTCAGAAAATGTGTTAATTTATAAAAAAAATAATGCTAAGTTTGCATATTTTGGCTGCAAGCCCCAAATAGTTATAAGCATAAAGATTTTATTTATTTACAGAGACCTCCAAGACCACATTACTTTTGTATATTTTTAAGAATTGATTTTTAGAGAGAGAGGAAGGTAGAGGGATAGAGAGATAGGAATATCAATGAGAGAGGAACCTCACTGATCGGCTCTGGGGATTGAGCCTGAAACCCAGTCATGTGCCCTGACTGGGAATCGAACCAGCCATCTCCTGGTTCCTGAGTCAAATTTCAACCACTGAGCCACACCAGCCAGTTGACACATTACTTTTGGTTGCACCTTCTCCTGCTCCCAGTTGTCTTTCTCTTTTTCTGTATCTAACCAGGACTTCCATCCCTACTTCTGGATCCACAGTGCCCATTTCTCTTTCTGGTAATATGGCTTATTGAAATATGTATACATATTAAGAACATACATTTTTAACAAATAACTAATAAAATGTACTTTCAAATGATGGCCAACTGTACACATGGTTCTGTCATATCCTGTACTTTGTGAGCTCCTGCCGGGCACTAGGCTTGCTGCCGCTTTTACAAGTAAGTAAATCAGAGTCCTGCTCTCAAGGAGCTTAGAGCCCCACAAGGACAAAAAAAACAATGCACAGAAACAGACATCTGAAAACGCCCCTGTTCAGCTCAGAAAATACTTCTACTTTGCAAAGGAATAAAACTACACATTCAAGTCAGTAAACATTTCACTCATGCTTTCAGCTGAAATACCAAGAAGCATCTTAAAAAATCTGGATTTAAAAAATTAAACGACGACCTTGAAGCTCACTGAATATACTTTCAACTCACAGAAAGACACTTGTAATCCATAAGACTTTTTTTTGTAAACAGGCATTAGAGAGTGTAGCTGCCTAACTTCTTCTGACCAAACTGAACAATGTCTTTCCACATTTGATCATCTCGGCACTTTGCTACCATTACTGCCTTTCCTATGCACGAACCCAGTTAATTCTATGTTCACATTATGGCTTACTTTCATCACTCTACATTCTTAGTCATTATTCTAATCAAGTCCAATCACATAAAGCCTATAGTAATTATTTAAAAAATATTGATGGCTCTTCTCTTTACAAATGAATTTATTCATAAATAAGCTTTAAAAGTAAGAAGTCTGGTAAGAAATAAGATAAAGCTGAAATATCTGAGTATAAGTCACCAAATCCCTCTATTAAAAAATCTTTTTGAAGAAGAGATTAACCATAAATCGTATGCATAGCCCATGGACACAGACAACAGGGTGGGGAAGGCCTGGACTGGGGCAGGGGTTGGATGGAGAGGGGCAAAAAGAGGGAAAATGGGGGAGCGGGAGACATCTTAATATTGACAATAAAAACACATACAAACCTTTCTTATAGTTGATGATACCAAATGGTTTATAAGCCAGTTTGGACATCAAAGATCAGCAAAAATGTAATAAGAAAAGAGTCATTTAATAAACACTCACTAGGTTTGTATTACAAATAGTCCCATCACAACAAGGTAAACTATGTTCACTTTAATATATATTTCACAACCACAGGAAATAGCCCACTCCTAAGTTCAATTATTGGGGGCGGGAGGGGGGAGGAGACACTTTCAAAATTACACATTTTGATAATTTGTAACTCAGAACAGGTGAAAATCGAAACTGTTAACCTGGATTATATCATTATCATTATAAGCAATAAAATTATTAACAGGATATCTACTATGTATCAGATCCTAAAAATAGAAAGTATAAAAGAAGTGTTTTTGTTCTCTTGATGAGTACGTATCCAAATGTGAGTGTTTATGTATTCTTTCCTTTAAAGTAGTATAAGATGGTCTGTGCCCTGAGGGCTTATAGTTCAGTTGGGGATACAGTACAAGGATATAAAAAGATTTAATAACTAAAGCAGACATGTGTAATAGTTTCAACAATAAAGATTAAAAAAAACATTTAACAAGAAGACTATACAGCATATATTAAGTGTAAAATGAATGCCGCAATCTGTAACTGCTGTTATGATCACTGAGGATTTGGGGGAAATAATGAGAAGAGGAACAGGGTGCTGGGTTTTCCTTGGGAGGAGCACTTACACCAATGAGAGCAAGGTGCTGCTGGCCGCCACCGGCCCATGTGTGGCTGCCACAGCAGTGCTGAGGGGTGGGAATGGGAGAGGTTCTCCAGTCAGCTTGCTGCTGCTGGTCCCAACAGGAATCACGGCCCTGCCAGACAGTGAACAGTCGACAGCTGCCCTGGAATGGTTGAGAATGGCTGCAGCCAGCAGACAGAAACAGGATTATGGGCGGAGCACAGGTTTAGGACAAAGGCTTGGGTGTCTCCTCTTAGACAGGGCCTGAAAAGAAAAGAAAGGAGAACAATACAAGAAAGGAGGAGAAAAGTACACCAACATCCTTCATCTTCTGGCCAGGGTCCCAAATGACTTGGATAAATTAAGGAGAACAAAATGATTGAATTGCTACTATATGCCAAAAAGTCATTTTCTTTCTTCTTTCTTCCTTCCTTCCTTCCTTCCTTCCTTCCTTCCTTCCTTCCTTCCTTCCTTCCTTTCTTTCTTTCTTTCTTTCTTTTCTTTTTAAAAAATATATCTTTATTGATTTCAGAGAAGAAGAAGAAGAAGAAGAAGAGAGAGAGAGAGAGAGAGAGAGAGAGAGAGAGAGAGAGAGAAACATAAAGGAAGAAAA